CCTAACAAGGCCTAAGAGGGTGTAAATCACCCCAAACGAAAAAGTGACCTTAAAAAACTATTTTAAGCATGCAAAAATAGAAATCTTTCTAGTTAAGAGTTAAGCTTAAAAACATATGTAAGAAGGGCTAAAAGCTTAAGCAAGAAAGGGAGATTTAAAGGTCAAATGCTCACCCTTGAAGACCTCCTTTACAACTGCAACTCCAGTAAGTTCTTTGAGCTTAAACTAGTCCAAGAACACCAAAAACAACCCCTTAGCACCTCAACAACCAAAGGAAGGTGTTTGAGTGTGTGTTTGTAAACAAAAGTGAGACAAATCTACACTTTAAGGCACAAAACAAGAGAGAAATCAAGATGTATAGATATAGATTATATGTATGGCTCAAGGAAGTTTTTCTGAACCTAGAGGAGGGAGGAGGAGCCTCCCTCTTATAGAAGAGGAAAGGAAAAGCTTCTAGGAGAAGCTAAGCACCAAGGCAATCCCTCTATACACGTGTATGGAGGATGGCCCTAATGTCCTCCAGCTGGCTGGAGGAAAATATCTCCAAAAAGGTGTCAAAAAGCAGCTGACCACTTAAAGTGGTCGGCCTGCTACTTAAAGTGGCCGGCCGACCACTTCAAGTGGTCTTTGAGAGCAAAAACTGGTCAGCCATGGTGGGAGAGAGTCCAAGGCATGAAAGTAATGCAGTGGTGTGGTGGCCGACTAGAAAAGATGCCCCAAAGACCAAGAAAGCCAGTTGTCCGACCAGAAAACTGGCTGGCAGAGGAAGAAGTGGTCGGCCAAGAGAAATACTGGTCTCCCACCCTTGTACCACCTTCCAAACAAGGAAAACAAGGTTTGTACCAAAAACAAACCAAAACGGATGCAAGACGAGAGATCGGGAGGCAAAGCACGCGATCGAAAGCCCCAAAAACTAGCTGACGAGCACCAAAAGTGGTATGCAACCACAAAAGTGGTCTCTTGGACCACAGTGTTCCTCTAGGCAGAGGCAACAAGGTGTGGTTCAAAAACCACGCCAAACGGAGAACGTTAAGCGGTCCCGAGACAAGGCACGCGGCCGAAGGCTCCGAAAATCAGAAACTAGTCTCCAAACGGGAAAAGTGGTCTACAACCACAAAGAGATGGTCTACAAGACCTCTCCCTTCCTCTGAGAAGAGAAAACAAGATTCGGTCCACAAACCGAGTTGAAGCACAAAAGAGTTCAAAGGCCCGGAGGCAAGGCTCTCAGCCAAAACTCCGGAGACTCGAAACGAGCACAACATGCACCATCACCGAGCGCTCAATCGATGACGTCTGAGTCTTAAGGTCAGTCAAAAATGGGGTGTCTACAGTTGACAAATCATGTTTTCAATAATTAAATCTCTCAAAACTTCAGAATAGTGCATTTTCAAACAACATAATACCTGGCATTCTTTTGTAGAGGTTATGTCAATTATTGGGGATGTAGTCAAAGGATATGGTGGTTTTGCATTTTCTTTGATAACAGTTGCAATCTCATTATTAGTTAACTAGAAGTGTAATATTTATTCATTTGTCAAACATCGAATTTAATCACTATATAGCAATACATGTTTAAAAAGATGTACAGATGCAGCTGGCTTTTCATTGCTCATCGGAGGAGTTTAGTCTCCTCAGATACGATAGCCCTATAGTTTGGACTCCTGTGGTCATGAATTTGATTTCACAAGTACAATGTGAAACAGTGAAAATAACAAATCTTTGAAAAATCAATATTGAATCAAAAATGCCAAAAATGGACTGCATTGTCAGATTTTATTGTCGCTACCTAAATATTTTTGAAAAATTTAGGAAACCCGTGACTCGTGCCAAAGGCCAGTTGTCCGTCATCACCAAAGTGTTTCGGCTCGAGAACTTAGGTATGAGAGGGGAAGGTCATGAATTGAGCACCCCACTCACCTGATCAAAGATTGGCCTCTACTAATCATGATGTGATTCTTATGTACAGTATATACTCTTGTTCTGATTATTATGCTATCTTTACTATGTGATGCACACAAGTATAGACTAATTCGCCCACTTTGGAATGCTTTGATTTCATGTTTGCTTTGAAAAGAGTTTTGAATATGTACCACTTGAAAAAGTGAGCTCATATGTACATTAATCAAATCATCCTAACTTAAGCGAAAAAGCCTTTATCCATCGGCATTCAAACAGGTATATCAGATACGCAACTAGCCTCGTAGTAAACATGCTTGTTATGGCAACAATCACAAGTATGCAATATGCTAAAGCAAAAAATGCTTACCCCAAATATCCGAGGCAAGCCAAAATAAAAGAAAATAGTTAGAAAAAATGCATGATCCTAAACAATGCAACATGACTAATGCAACGCATGCAACATGCAATTAATAGGCTTGGCTACTAGTATAGCATGTGAGTCAATTCAAGACATGCGATAAAGCACGTATTCAAATAAGGAATTTGAATTTTGACATTGATAAGTATGATGAGCCTGACCTTTATGCATGCAAAACGAATTGATGCGAGTAATGGAAAATGTAGGAAAACATGATGCTAACCATGGTAAGCGGATAAATAAAAGGGAGAAAGAAATGGGCATTGGAAGACATACATAAATTATTACATATTTTCCCTCATGCAAGAGGGTCCGAATGAATGTCCTAATTAGCTTAATTATTACAACACCAAATTAACTAATTATTACAAATTTGAATGAATTTAACTAATTAATGAACTAGCTATTACAAATTTCAAATGAATCTACTAATTAAGTACATGTTATTGTTAGCATTAATTTCACGAGCCACGGGAAGTGAAGAATCGCATATGCAACCAAGACCATCCTCTCGGAAATGCCTTTGTTTTGCTGCCTGATTCTGTTTTGTTCATAGTTAGAAAATAATTTTGTTTTTGCTTCAGCTCTTGCTTTGTTTTGCAAGAAAAATACCACTGTTTGTGCAACAAAAGATGGTCGGCCGGCCAGTTAAGGAAAGTGGTCGGTCGAATTCAAGGGGTGTCTAGTCGGCCACTAATTTTGGTACTGTCCTACTGCAACAGAATGGAAACAGAGAAAAAACAAAGTGTTTCCAGGGGATGTTTATCCTCTCTGCCTCTTCCTATCATGAAATTGATCAAGGGACAAGTAGAATCCGTCTACAAATCATCAATGGTCACAAGGCTGTTGCATGATGATCCATGAATCGATGGGACAAGGACTTAATGAATGAAAAGAAAAGACCAACAAAACCTCCTCCCTATCATGGAGTTTTTTCAAAGGGAAGTGGTAAACATTGATTCTTGAACCATTATCATCACTAAAGAGTATGAAATGACTCAAGACTCAACAGGTTCAATATAACGTCCAATTGAACCCAACTCAATTTTATTATCTTATGCATCTTTTAGTCCAATTTTATTAGCCTTTTTTTTTATTACCTTTCCATTCTTTAATCATTTTGTCCAAAAGTGATAAGTATATCCACTAATGAAGAAAGTGTCAAACAAGAAGTTGTTCTTGGCATGAAAGAGATGTAATGCCTTGGTAATGAAGCTCTGAAGAGATTAAACCATTAAGCTTGGAAGGTCTCTTTCGCATGCCTTAAACAATGATTGTTAAACAACTCTTAAACAAATAAAACCAAGAAAAGAGGGAGGGTGCAGAGATGGTTATTGCAAGAGTGAGTATATGTATGAAAATCTATGAAATAGAAGCTCAAATAGGTTGGTGTCTAAGGCCTAAACTACCAAACCTATGAGGGCTACAACAATACAAGCATACTATGCAAAGCATAAACTAATTAAACACACTAAAAAATTCCTAAAGACGCCAAAAACAGTGTTGGAATTACTTTGAAACAAGCTAAAAAAGTAAGCCAAAATGAGAGAAAATTAAAGCTAGTAAACAAGCTTAAGGAGGGGTAGCTAACCCCTCAATTTTTTGGACCTCAAAACCACATATTTTAACCTCTTAAAACTCTGAAAAATAGCGGCCAAAAGTTGAGAAACAATGGGGAAACACAAGGATAAAAGCTTATGGAATAAGGTTCAAAGGAGGGTGATTAACACCTCCACCTTTGGTAGCTTTAAATCACAAGTTTCAATCCACCAAAAAAGTCCAAAAATAGTATGAAAATAGCAAGAAAAGAGAGGTAAGAAGTAGTGTAAAGATGGTAAAAGTTATACCTCTTGGAGTGGAGTTACTCTTTTGTTCACAAACCACAACATACCCACTCTCAAGGGCTAATATTTGAGCTCAAGAACCTCAGCAAGGAGTCTCAAATTTTCGGTTTAGGAAGTGTATGTATAGCGCATATATATTGCAAGATAGAGAGGGAGAGTGCATTGCAAGATTTTGAGCTTTGGTAAATTTTTCTAACCTAAAACCATGAGAGATGGTCAAGTATATATAGAAAAATAGGATGCTATCTCGGAAATATCTGTATTGAGCTAGCTGGTGCAATGCATGTACATGAGGGAACAGTTGGCAACAAATATCTGTTTTGTCGGAAAACCTGGCCGGCCGGCTAGGTTGGGGATGGCCGGCTACTAATTTTTGGCCAGTCAGCCTTTTATTGGCTAGTAGGCCTCTGAGTGGTTAGGTTAGAAAAAAAAAGTAGGTTTTGGCTCAAAGGGGGTGTAGGTTCTGGGATCTGAAACTCAAAACCGAGGCTCCTTGTTGAAGAAATAGAACATTTGTATAGCGCATTATTGTATTATCGAGTGTTCACCCTGAGGCGCCCAAGTCATAAAGGCGATCAAAAATGAGATGTCTACTATGGACAATGTACATTTTTTTGTTTTGATGAACGTGAGTTGCGTTGATTGGGTTGTTCCTTCTTGTTTCCTTGACACACCTATATGCAAAAGATTAAGAAAATAAATTAATCAAATAGATATGATTTGATGTATAAAGGCGTTATAAATAATAAATGTACATATATAAATACCTTTTTCTTTGCCTTTTTTGCTATGCTCTTTAGTGTGGATTTTCTCCTCTTTGATGGGGGACGACCTTTAGTTCATACTTTTAATGGATTAAGCAATCTTTTATGTAAACTTAGTATCTCTTTTAATTCACTATCATCTTCAGCTGTAGATATTGTTAAGACTTGAGTACTTTGACTACTCTTGTGAACACAGTCAACCTTGAGGAGTTTTTCCTTTGCCTCATGAAGTAATTTCATTAGAAGTTCACATTTAGCTTTAGACTCCATTCCAAGTTGTTGGACTTCAAACAATAATGGGGTTAGCTTCTTGTTGCGCTGTCTTTGTTCATCATTACCATCATCATAAACACTTTTAAGAGCAGTGTACCCACGTTTGATGTCCTTCCGCCACCGCTCTAAAATATAACGACATGGAACCTCAATTACCTTTTTCCTAATCAACACTAAGATTGCATGCCTATATAAAATCCCCCTGAACTCAAACAAATGACATAAGCATTGCACGTCCCACTCTGTCTCATTATAGAGAACCTCATAATTTATCTCCTCGAAAGGAGTTCCATCTTTTCCTAGCACACTTTCTATAACTTCAAATGTGGAAATTGATCCTTGTGTCTGAGAAAGGGAAGTACAACAAAAGATTAATCCTCTTAACTCATCTTGGAACCGCTGAAAAATATCATTTGTGTAAATTCTCTGCAATTGTTTCTTAATAGAAAGACTAATGATACATGGAATAACAATATTAAAAGAACAAAAATCTGCATTGCTTTCTTTCTCTATCTTACTTTTAAGAGCATTTTCATATTGTTTGAAGAATTGATTAAGTGTAGTTTTTGAGTGAACATACCCATCAAAAAAAGCATTAATACTTTCACTTTTTTGGGTAGTTGACATTCCAGCCTAAAAGTAGATTTCACAAACACTGGAACCCAACGATGACGATCTGTATAAAGGGACTTCAACCATTCATTATCCTCGAGTTTATATTCCGTAATCATCATATTCCAACCATCTTCAAAGTCTCCAGCTCTTATAGAGTCACACACAATATTTTTCAAAATATTCTTAATTGTTTTATATTGGGCAAACCCTCTTAATTTCATTGGAAGTTCTTTCATAATGTGCCAAAGGCATAACTGATGTTGAGCATTTGGAAACACTTCTATAATTGCTCTTTGAATAGCCTTGCATTGATCTGTAACTATAGCCTTTGGAAAGTATCCAAACATACAAGACAACCATGTCTTAAATAACCAAATATATGTATTCGTATCCTCATTTGATAATAAACCACAACCAAATAACAAAGATTGCCCATGATGATTGACCCCAACAAATGGTGCAAATAGCATGTCATATATATTAGTCTAATATGTCCTGTCAAATGAAATTACATCACTAAAAGATTCATATGCAGCTCTACACCTTGCGTCGGCCCAAAACACATTTCTTATGCGACATTCTTCATCCACATCAATCATGTAAAAGAAGTTTGAATTCTAATTTTGCATACGATGAAAATAATTAAGAAGGGCCTCATCATCTCCCATCCTAAGTATCAATTCTCTTGTTTTATCAACATAATTTCTACACTGTTTTTCAATAAAAATTAAATTTTCAAAGCCACCTGCTTTTATAACAATTGAATGAATATTTTTATTCAATGTTATGCTAGCTAAAGCATTCAATTCCAATTTTCGTTTTGACATGAGGATTCAAAACCTTGGTACATCTGAACTGTCGTACTTTTCTTGGACTTAAGTTGTGGTTATGATCCAAGAAAACAAGTGAGATGATAAAGCTCCCATCATTTTGTACAACAATGTTAACATTTGCTTTGCAATTGGTCTTTGACAAAGGTCTTGGATAAAAATTGCCTTTTACAGAACAAATTGACTTATCATTTCGAGCACAAGCAAGCAAAAAGTACTTCTGCATCCCATCGTCTCTATTCTTTTTGCTCATTTTTGCTATACCAAAACCCTTTTGCTATGCATATTTGTTATAATAGTGTAGACACCCCATTTTTGACCGCACTTAAGAATTGGGCGCCTCAGGTTGATCACTCGATAATGAAAGTTATGCTGCACAAATGCTAGATTTCTTCAGCAAGAAGAGCTTCTAAATCCCGACCTTACACCCCATTTTGGACCAAAACCATTTTTGACCAAAACTATTTTAGACCTTAAAACTCTCTTTTTCAAAATATTTTTGAAAATGTTTCTATGATGTTCCGAGGCTCGCATTTTGTTAAAAATTACACTTTTCGGTAAACTGAGTAAGGACAAAGTGGAAATAAATGGAAAAGGAGGTGAAATCTTTGAAAAATATTTAAAAACTCTTATTGATAGGTTTGGAGTTGAAGAAAATAGGAGGGGAGGGAAGAAAACTAGTTGGGGAAATGGTTGAGCATGAAACCGTTAAGAGAGAACTGAGCAGCCTTCACTAAATCAAGCCTATCTCTTTGTACACTTAGAATTTAGTTTTGTGGCCAATACTGTTGGAAAGTGGACTTCTGTGGCTTCAATTTGGACTCAAGAATATCCTAAAGTTGAGTCTGCATGAGGGAGATATGGCCATTTGAAGTTAGGCATCAATCTGATTAACATAGAAATGAGTAACCTTCACTAAAATAGGCATATCTCTTTACACACTTAGAATTTAGATGTGAGGATGCCACCATTGGAAATTAGACTTCTGGGGGCTTCAATTTAGACCTAAGAATGACCTAAAATCGAGTCCGGATGAAGGAGATATGCCCGTTTGAAGTCGAGTCTAGAAGCAAATTTTTTGTGGCCGGCAACCCACACTTCCGGCCAACCAGCCACTTGTGAAAAACACAGATATTTTGTGCCATCTGTCCCCCAAAAGCTCCCCAAAAGCTCCAGTTGTTCCTATATGGATATTTTCGACCTGTGAAGCTGTTTTTCTATATATACCAGGCCTTCATTTTTGGTTTAAGGTTACAAAAATTTCCAAAAGTCCCAAAACTTGAAATTCTCTCTCTGTCTATATCTTGCAACCTATAAACCCTCTCTCTACACTTCCTAAACCAATATTGGAGCTCTCCTTGTTGAGATTATTGAGTCCAAATTTCAGCCCTTGAGAGTGAGAACTTGTTGGTTTGTGAACAAAAGTGTTATTCCTTTTCAAGAGGTATAACTACTAGCTCCTTTGCACTACTTCTTTCCTATATTTTCTTGCTATTTTTGAAATTTTTTTAAACTATTTTTATGGGCTGAAACTTATGGTTTAAAGCTATCAAAGGTGGAGGGGTTAACCACCCTTTTTTAAACCTTGTGCTCTAAGCTTTTGCCCTTGTGTTTCCCATCTTTTCATCAAATTTTTTTGAGCTTTTTACCAATGATTTTCAGAGGTTTTCAGAGGCTAAAAATGTTGTTTTTCGATCCAAAAATGGAGGGGTTAGCCACCACTCTTTATGCTTGTTTACTAGCTCAAAAGCTCCATTATTTTAGCTTGCTTTTTTAGCTGTTTCTACTTCAATTCCAGCACTGTTTTAGTGTATATTAGGATTGTTTTTATGAGTTAGTTTTATTTATGCTTGTAGTATAATGGCCCTCATAGGCTTGGTGGTTTAGGCCTTAGCCATCAACCTATTTGAGTTGATAGTATTTATTTCTTGTTTTCCATACTTATTTTCACCTCTAATCATGTCTGCAACCTCCCTCATTTCTTGGTTTTTGCTTTGCTTTGAAAGTTGTTTCAAACTAGTTGCTTGTTTAAAGCTTAAGATTGAGGTATTGTGCTTAATGATTTAATTCCTTTGGGGGTTCATTATCAACGACATGATGTCTCTCTCATGTCTAAAAAAACTCTTGGTTTGGTACTCCTGTCCATTAGAGGACTTAAAGCTCAGTCTTGGACTTAATTGACTAAGGAATGGTTCGTAATAAAATTGAGACTAAAAGTGATGCAAGATAATAAAATCAACTTGGTTAGGGTTCAATCGGACGTTAATTGAACCCTTGAGTCTTGAATCGTTTTATACTTGTTAGTGATGTAAATGGTTCAAGAGTCAATGTCAACCACTTCCTTTCCCTTGATCAATATACGATAGGGAGGAGGTTTGAGAGTCTTTCTGGTTGTATTTATTGAACTTACACACTTTGGTTCATAGGCCATCATGCAAGGAAATTGCTTCCATTGATGGTTTGTGAATCAAATTTACTACTTCTTTGAGCAATTTGATGATAAGGAGGGGTAAGTTGTGCAAACAACCCTTGAGAATACTATGTGCTTGCTCTGTTTGATCTCTGTTACAGCAGGAAGAACCAGCCATCAGTGGTCGGTAGGCCACCATTTACGGCCAGCAGGCCATCATTTGTGGTTGGCAGGCCACTACTTCTAGCCTACCGGCCACCTTTGCAAAATCCAGCGGTGACTTGTTGAAACAGAACAAAGTTGGTTTTGAGGTAGAAATCAGTGCAAGTGTTCTGCTGTGCAACAGAGGCATCTGGCAGCAGAAACAGTGACTTTTTAGAGTGGAAAGTCCATGCATGCATGAACACTTCTCGTTTACAGAGGCAGAGTAATTAGATTAGTATTTCTTTCATGTTGTATTCATTAATTAATTAGTTAATTTGTAAATTAACTTGTTAATTAGTTTCAATTATTTAGTTAGCTAATTTGTTGTAATAAGTATTAGCTAGTTTAGTTGATTACTTCATTCGTTTTGTAATAGCTAGTTAATTAGCTTAGCTAGTTAGTTTATTTGGACCCTCCTGCGTGAGGGTGCAAATGTTGTAATAATGCGTATGTCTTTTAACCCCACGTCTTTCTCCCTTTTGTTTACTTGCTTACGATGGTTAGATTAGAGCATCATCTTTTGTTTAGCATCTTTCATGATTTGGATCCACTTGTTTTGCATGCACCGAGGCTCTGCGCATCATTCTAACTTGCATTATTAGTTTAATACTTCTTTGAATATGTGCTTAAACCGCATGCTATCAAATAAATTCATATGCCATACTAGTAGCCGAGCCTAGTAATTTCATATCGCATGTGTTGTATTAGTCATATTGCATTAGTTAGGATCATGCATTTTTCCTAACTCTTTCGTCTTTTTGGCTTGGAGTACTAGGTGAGTTTTTATTTGCTTTAGCATATTGCACGAATGTGATTGTTACTATGTCTAGCATGCTTGACATAAGGCTAATTGCTTAAATGATAAACTGTTTGAATGTCTGTAGATGAAGGCTAATTGCTTGAATTGGAATAATTTGTTTAATGTCCATTTTACCCACTTTTTCAAGTGGCAAATTTACAAAACATTTTCAAATAAAACATGAAATCAAATGTTCCAATTCTTGCAACTTAGTTTATACTTGTATGTGTGCCACATAGTAAGTTAGCCTAATAACCGGAACATGAGCATATAATGTAAATAAGAATCACATCATGATTAGTAGGGGCCGATCTTTGATCGGGTGAGTGGGGTTGCTTAATTCATGACCTTCCCCTCTCATATCTAAGTTCCCGAGCCGAGACAATCTTGGTGATGACGGACACATGGCCTTTGGCACGAGTCATGGGTTTCTTAAATTTTCCAAAAATATTTAGGTGGCGACTCTGTATCTAACAAAAAAGTCCATTTTTGGCAATTTGATTCAAAATCGACTTTCCAAAAGATTTGTCGGATTTGAACTCTTTGGTGTTTATCTATTTGACATTGTACTTGTGAGATCAGATTCAGAACCGCAGGAGTCCGATACTATAGGGCTTATTCATCTTCCAAGAGGGGGCACGAAAAGTCGAGCTACAATTTCTGGCGACGCTACTAGGGAAATTAGAGAACTGGACTCAAATTTCATAATGTGAAATTTGATCTATACTTATATGTTCTTTGCATTGCATTTGCATTGGTGCTCTTAAGT